GTAGTATCTATCCATAAGTCGAGCTTATCCTCCGATTCGAGTCGTAGCAAGCAAGCTGCCTCACCCACCAGTCGTGCTATACCCCAATGCACAGAATATGCCTCGTGTGCATTGCGCCGGCAATCACCCGACCAGCCCCCGCAGCGTCCGAGCCGCATTTTCTCCTGCCGATTGCCACCATCATGGTAACAATGAAGACCCGCACGCTGGTCGGGCTTACGTAACGAGAGAAGATCTTAATTTGTTGATTATCACGCGACGCAACGTGTGGACTCAAGATACTCTCGAGGAGATGGTGGCGCGCGATCTCGAGGAACAAATGGAACGAGTTCGAATTGACGACCAAGCGATGAGTCGGGCGAGTTCAAGGTGAAGTAGCTCCTGCGTAGCGAAATGCACGAGACGGTAGGAAAGCTGCGTTTGTCGCAATAATACATTATGCTTAAGAATCTATCGATGCTCTCCGGTATTGTCCTTGGTAGAAAGTCGTAGTTTAAGTTTGTATGGAATGTGATTCCTGTAAAGAATATAAAATACGAAACTTACGTGATTTCAATATGGGTTTCACTATGCAAAAGTCTCTATGAATCGTCTGGTGGCCTCCAGGAAGGTCACAGGTCACACAGAGTGAAGTGTCGAGATTATGTGTCTTTTGAAATTTTGCTCACTCTTATGTTTCTTCTCGTGTTCTACCAGGCCGACGGCTCAAACAACTTACCCAAGTTGTAAATCAGATTTCCGCGCGCGTGGGGTCAGTGACTTACTCATCAACTGGCAGGCAGTTTATATACCGGAGTGAATTCCTCGAGTTACAAACTTGGTTCCTAGGTTGGCTACCCCGCACCAGCATGACAAATGCCGCTAGTATACAAAGGCCACCTTTACAAATACAGTAAGACGACGGCGGTCATTACCACAGTCCTATGCTCGGTAATAGTTACGGCTATGTCATCTACCTCATTTACTACGAGTCATACAATGCTAGTTACCCTTTATATGGATCGTCTGCAGGTCTGGCCTAACCCCCGGGTCAGGGTTATACATAAATTACTAGCACTAGTTAGATCCGGACATTGGATCCCAACCATACGAAAACCCTGGGAGAAGCTACACATTATTATACTCACACTAAATAATAGATGTACGATTTATTAAACCCAACTCCCAATCTGGGAATCCTGTATGATCTATATTTGAAGGTGCTGAGAGCCTGTTAACTTCCTATTCAAGATTTTGAAACATGCTGGTGACTTGGTTAGTTGTCAGCGATTCTTAACAATTCCGAACAATTGATTGCGGGTTCAAACCCCGCTGCGTCCACCTCACCCAAGGTTCGTCGCACATTCGTCCGCCAGCGTCCTCTACGCGTACCAATTCAGTTAAAGGGTCCTAATCTTAGCCGCAGTAAGAGGTGGTAGGACATAGGAAGGTACATGAGAACTGTGTGTAATGGAGGGGCGCTAGAGTTTTGTCTCTTATAACACATTTGAT